GTTATTCAACAGTTTTGAAATCCCCCAACCCCATCGGATCCTCTACCCACTTATTCTCTAAATTCGAGTCCAACTAGGACTGCTGCAATGGTGGGGCTACAAATGATGCAACGCCCCAGAAATGGTTGGGGAGGGTTTTACTAAGCTCCGATAGATCTTATTTGACACCATGTGATGGTGAAATTGGAGGCGGGGATCATTGTCCGAGTGTTGCAGGCTTTTAGGTCCAGATTGGGCCTTGTTAACCACGCTGTCGTCATCGAGTTTGAGAGTGTTGGCTATGGATCGAGCCAACCACGACATTGCAAATTAATACAAGCGGGCAGGATAAGTGTTGAGTTGACTTTGATTCTCCAATTGCCGACAATGACTTTGGGTGGGGGAGGGTTTGAGAAGAGAGACGGTGATCGAATAAGATTCATTCAATATGTCGTTGCTTGAGGTCGATGGTTTCAATCAGAGGCGGAGGTGGTGGGAGATGGTGGTGGCGATGAATTTATTATTGTTGGTTTTAGATTGAGGGGATGGGGAAGAAGATCCATTTTTCCTTTTTTTTATTTAAGTTTTTTTAATTGTTTAATGTGATAAATTCAAAGTTGCCATTTTACCCTTTTAAAATTTTAAAAATGGTCAAAGTTTATTTTGATGGTCAACTGACTGAATTTTTTATGGAAACCATCCAAATGGGCCTCACATGCAACGTTTGAAAATATTAGGGGTGACGGCTACAATAAATAAAATTTTTTTAAAAAGTGTGCTAATGTTTCAAAAATTTAGAACTTCTGTTGCAATTTTTACATTTATATATTACTAGTTACACCCTTCCCTACATTGCGCTTCAACTCACTTCATCTTTAACAAAACATACAGTTAATTCTTTTATTTATCTACACCTCTATATATTTTCTTCTTCACTCTCCCCCAAACACTTTCCGTTGATTATGTTTGTTGTGTGTATCTAATACGAGCTGAGTAATCAACTCCTCCTTTTGGAGCCACTCTCTTGCTGCCTGTTCCACGCAAAACCCTTGTTTCATGGAGATGAAACTCAAATTTTTAGTAGATTTTGATAAAAATTAATTAAATGTATAGTTAAAAGGTTGTGAGACCTATAAAATATGTTGTTAAAATTAATTGTTGGCTTTGACTTTGATTTAGGTTAAAATCTAAATTTTAATCCCTACCAAATAGGGACTAAGCGCATTGATGTTAGGCATGATTCAAATTAGATTAGGTTTTAAATTTTTCCTTTGATTTTAATGTCAATTATAGAACTCAACAACTCTTGGTTCACACCCCTACAACATATTTGATTTAGATAATGTTATCTAACGCTATCGTATTAAAGTGATATTATATATAATCTTACTAGTGGTACACAATTGTGTACCTAAGGATGACTTAATGGACACCCGGCACCTCGGCATTGGCCGAGGCGCCTGCCATGTCGAGGCCCACAGGCGCCTCAGCCAACACCGAGATGGCGGGCGTACATTAGGTACATCCTTAAGTACACGATTGTGTACCTTTAATATAATTCTTTTACATAATAGATTCAATGAAATATAGAATTAAGTTACCCTTCATTTAAGATCGCTTACTGTAACCTAGATTGACATTATAACTAAGATGATGTTAAATAATGTTACTTTTCGTTTATCGAGATAATCCACATATACATGCACAGTAAAATGAAATTTGGTGGGACCATTGAGCCCCAAAACAGTACAACCATACCAGCATAAAGTGCACAATTTTGGTTCCAGTGTTCTATCCTAATGTGGAATGTCAGCGATTATTTTCTAGGTGAAAACCGATGCTTGTAGTTGACTCTATGGATGGATACAACTAAATCCAAACAACTCATGACCTTTTGTGACCCGGAAGTGTATTATCAAAATCAAATACAAAATTCAAATCTTAATCTAATACCAACCATAATCCCCATTTTGTGGTACGTGTTATGTGCATCTCAATATATGTCGTATACGTTATATAAAATATCTATTAGATAAAATTTAAAAAGATAATTTTTCGTGTACATAATACTTTTAAATTTAAATTAAATGTTGTTATAAAAATGTAAAAAAAAAAAAAAAAAAAACAAGGAATTTTCATTCGTGGCTGACAATGTTTAGCCCTCGTTTGGTATAGAATAAAATCAAATTCTTAGCAAATTTTGATAAAAGTTGATAAATATGTAGATGAAATGTCGTGGACCCCATAAAATATGTGGTTAAAATTAATTGTTAACTTTAACTTGAAATTAAAATTAAATTTTAGTTAGAACCAAACAAGGAGTTAATGTGGCAATCATAAAATGTGGAAGGAAGGAAATTTGGGTGTTAATACTAATGAGATGTTGGACCGGAAAAATGATTTGATTAATTTTTCTTATCTGAATTTGATGGTTCACACTTGTACATGTCCATGGTGATTGACCTATCGTATTCATGATCTATGGAAATATTAGCATTATTGATACGGTGCAAAACCAGATACACAGAGTCAATGTAGATCAACGAATTCGAGAATTTGAGAACATGTTGATTAAGTCGAATATTCAAAACTTGTGAAAATCAGAATCTCGTTAATTCAAAATTAATAACGAACATATTTCTTGATTTTGGAAAAAAAAAAATACCAAAATTAGATGTAAAAAAGGAAAATTTCAAAATTATATAATTTTATTCCAAAATTCGAGAATTTGAGAACAACATATTGATTAAATTGAATATTCGGAACTTGTGAAAATCAGAATCTCGTTAATTCAAAATGAATAACGAACATATTTCTTGATTTTGGAAAAAATACAAAAATTAGATGTAAAAAAGGAAAATTTCAAAATTATAATTTTATTCTATATACAATTAACATGAATTAAAATCCTAACGTGTTTTTAAATAAAATAAGAAACCCTAATCAAGAATAGAGACTTAACCCATGTGTTTGAGCCTCATTTTTTAAAATTTAACTTTTTTCAAACTCATTTTTTCTAGTATACATTCTCTCAATAAAATAATTTTACACGTAAATTCAAATTTTTTTCTTATTATTTAACTACAAATTCTTTAAAAAAATCACTTTTACAAAATTTATTTTCAAAAAATGGACTCAAACGCTACTGTAGTGCTTGATAAATCCGGTGTCCCTTTCCACACACAATAGACCTAAAAAAAAAAATAATAAATAAATAAATAAATAAATTGCTATGTGACGGACAGTCAGTGGAATTTGATGTTAATATTGGTTTAAGACCTTAATCCACTCGAAATCGTATTAATAAGAAAAACACACCTGTCCTTGTAAATGTCATTATCACCACTCAGATGCAAGTAAATGGCGACATCCACTTAATTAATTCACCTATAGTCAGTGGCCTACATAATCTTTGTATTATCATCATTTTTACACTTACCACCTCTCCAGTGTTAACCACTATTATCAAACTCGAATCGGATCCAATACATCCGTTCAACTAAAAAAATTGATTCTAAAATTAGTACGACTATAGACCAAACGTCACAAAGTTGACCAAAGAACCGTCTAGTTCATATCAAAAAGTAGTCCAACCATAAAATTGATCGACGTGTTAACCGTAAAATCCATTAGTTGACGTCAAATTTTATTTACTATCGGTTCGAGCTTTCAAGATACAGTCAATACCTGGGTCTTCTGGCATGAACTTAAATATTAGAATTAGACGTCAATCACGAATAATAATAATAAACAATATTATCAAACTCGAATTGGATCCAATAAGTCTGTTCAACTAAAAAAATTGATTCTAAAATTAGTCCAACTATAGACCAAACATCGTTAATTACTGTTAAATTGACCGAAGAACTGTCTAGCTCATATCAAAAAGTAGTCCAACCATAAAATTAATTGACGTGTTAATCGTAAAATCCATTAGTTGACGTCAAATTTTATTTAATATTGGTTCGACCTTTCAAGACACAGTCAAATGCCTCAACTCCTTGTCACTGAAGATTTCCTCAATTTTTTTTCTTTAAACTAGGTTTTAACCTTGGGATAAAAAAAATAATAAGAAATTCGTGCACGAAAAAACCACTACTTGGTCAGAAGGGACAAGAGATCCATGTTTGTAGGGCGTAACCAAATTATTTTAGAGGTTTATGGATATGGACCACATTTAGATGGCCTAAAAAAATGAAACGAGGATTCACTTCACATGGAACTATCAGCTAGTTTGTACAAAATAGAATGTCGAAATTATAAACTAAGAGATGTTTGACAATATAAACATTTGTGCTTCCTAAGCCCCATGTTGTTTCTTGTTCCTCTATTGACCCAAATATCATTTATTTATTTATTTGGCCCTCATTTTCTGAAAATGAAAACGAGTGGAATAATATTTTTTTTTTTCTAAAATGAGTGGTCGCAAAAGGAGGAAAAAATTTCGATTTACGTGTAATATTATTTTATGAAAGACTGTATGATTGAAAATAGGAAAGAGAGAAATGTAATGTAATAGAATTTAGTAAGGACCAAACTGGGGCTAAATAAGGTAACACTTGTCGACTTTGGCATTTCATGAACTTGGAAATGGTTATTTTTCCAACGTGGTTCTAACCATTCTTTCACTCATATCGATGCAACATGAAAGTTCTCGTCTTGTTGATCTTAAAAAATTATTGAGATCTAAAAGTAATTCAAAATAGTAATCATAAAATGATCAACATACACACTCAAAGTCTTGCATCATTTTCTTGCATTCAAGTTCTCAGAATGGAAAATGTCCTACCACATTCATTAAGTTGTCTAGCTTTTAATAGTCCGTATTGCAATAATTAGAACAAAAAAATTCCATTTTTCCATTATATCTGCACTAGAGAAATGCAAGGAAAAATCAAACCATAAATCTTTAATTTTCTTCGAATTATAAAATTTGGCTATTTTCGACCTAATTCACATTCACGTAATCAAATCTCAAACTTAATCACATTCAAATTTATTATTGAAATTAACAAATATGATAAAACTAATCCTCTGTTTAATCACTGCAACGATTGCGCTGACTGTGGAATCTGGAAAAAGGGAAAGTGATTCTGACTAAAATGATTTTACTAATTTTTTATAGGACCAAAAATTGGAGTGTATTTAGTATTCACACTCATATTTTGCTAAATGTCCACCGAAGTAAACTATTACGTAGAGTGTGGATATAGCAAAATATGGAGTTCTAAGCTAAAATTTATGAAGGTGAAAACAGAATTACCGCTGGAGTTGTACAATGTTAAACTCCGGAAAGCCACCGAAAGAGCTCGCTGATTTCGTCTCCGACGCGGTTCGCCTCCAGATCCTCGACGGGGACGACGGTGTCGCTTCGGCGGCTACTGCCGGTGAAGAAGCGGCCAGAGCTTCTGAATGACAATGACCTTGATGAAACAGAAACCGAAGCCAGCCTATCGACGTAGTCTCTAAGCCAGTTCCTCCCGCGGGAAACCTCTCCAGCCAAAACCTCCACTGGAAGCGGTTCAGCCACCGGAACTCCTATTGAGGACTCCTTATCAATGGAAGTGCAATCAGACGATCCTCTCCGGTGATTGGTGGATCCGACGGAAACCTCATAGCCATTATCTACAATGTACTCGAAAGAACCGATTGAATAAGACCGCCGCCCTCCTCCGCCGGTGTCCTCCGTGCCACGGCGGCGACTAATGCTTCCCATTTCAATCCTAAAACTCCCGCCATTTTCACTTCCATTACGATTTTCAAAGTTATTGTCAATATTATTGCCACCGCCAGTCTCAACCAACTGAATTTTATCCAGCACTTCCGAGTCTGAAGGTAGGACGGACGATCGGCAAAGAGGACAAGTTTGATTAGAAACGAGCCACGTATCAATGCACCCGGCGTGGAACGCGTGACAGCATAACGGCAACAAACAGAGCTGATCATGCGGCTCAAATTTTGACAAACACACCGCACAATCACCGCCGGTGAGGTTTCCAGTAATGGAGCCGAACGTGAAGAGAGGAAGAGAATCGAGCAGATTGCTCGACACCATATGGCATCGATTCAAGTTCGGATTTGAGTGATGGCGTAGAACAACATCTTCTGCCGCGGCGAAGGTGCGAAATGAGCGGTGGAAGCGCTTTGAAATTAAACGAAGAAGAAGGTAAATCGAGGCCGAGACAATGATGGCAGAGGCGACTATAATGATTACTATAACTATCGATGATGAAGAGGAAGGGGACGGAGATGATGTGTTCATGTACGGTGGTATTTGGTTGGTTGGAGTGGCGGAGCCGCCGTTTATAAAGGCAAGTGTCGGCAGCGGTGGCGGTGGCGGTGGCGGTGGCATAGGGAAAGTAGACATAATTGAATAGCATACGAAGAAATAATGAATTTAGTAAGAGAAAGAAGGGATTTCGATTAGGCCATTTTTAGAGAGAGAGAGAGGGGGGGACATGGAGTTGGGTGAGGAATTTATGAAGAGAGCGCCGGTGAAGTAAAGGAAATGGGGGCAGGTGTTTAATGCCATGGGAGAGGGTTTGGTTTTGGTGTTTAATACATATGTAGTGTGTGTTTGTTTGTGTTTCGGAGAGGAAAGGAATGAAAAGACGGAAAAGACAGCCTTAAAAAGAGGTGGAGCATTTTATTGCGTATGTTTGTTTCATTTTATTATTTTCCACTTATTTTTATTATTGAATTTCTGTTTATTGTTATATATACGTGATAAAATTTGTCGATTATACCATATACGGTAAATTACATTTCTATTTGGTATGAATTAAAATTCAGATTTCATATAAATCAAAGATAACAGTTAATTTTAACTATATATTCTATAAAAATTCATAATTTTTCAATCACATATTTCATCAATTTTTGTCAATATTTATTAAAAATTTGATTTTAATCATCACGAAATAGGAGCTACAGATTCATATTTAAGGGTTCAATTTTTATCAAAATTTATTAAAAATCTAATATTATTCCCCAACAAACAAGAGCTCCATATTCATATATATTATGATCGTCTGACGTGATTTTTGAGAAGTTAAAATGAGCTTTTGAGAATTAAAAGCTTCATTTTGACTTATTTGATTAATTTATAAAAATACTTATAGATAAAAGAGTTTTTAGAGAAAGTTAGAAAGATTTTTTAGAAATGAATTTCCAAACATTAATTAAGATAACTTTCTCTACAAAAACTAGAAGCAAAAATAAAAGCATACAAAACGAATCCTAAGTTGCAAACAATCTTAGCTAAATGCAATTCAATTCTGCAACTAATTCATATTAAATGATTAAAAGATGGAAGTGTAATAGATTAACAATTCAATTTCACTTTTACTAATCCATTGAAAGAAATAAATATTTATTCATTAGAAGACCCTCTTTCATGCAAATCTTGATGGGTAGGAACATCTAGAAAATAGCATTAAATGATTGAAGTTGAAAGCTCATATCTATTACTAAATGTTATTTTTAATTTTTAACAATTTTGTATCTCTATTTTCTTACTTTTCAACTTATTTATATTGGATAAAAAATTTCTATAGTTATTTTATTCGACGCAAATTAACGAATTTTTGTTCACAAGAAAATCAATAGAAAAATAAATTTTTATTTATTTTCAACTTATGCTTGTTTTCATATTCACTATTGGACATCACTTGCAAGCAAGTGAAAAGTATCACTAGTCCCACAAAATTTTGTGTTGTCCACAATCTCAAGTCTTCTCCCTTTCAAAATCCATATTTGCATATAATTTAAACAATGCCTATATTCGATAAATATATTATTAAGATTTTTGTGATATTCACATCATATCTTCTCTTATTTAGGGGCTGTTTGGGCCCGATTTTTTCACCCAAAAAATTAATTTTTTGACTGTTATTTTACTATTTCAGTCGTCATATTTGACTTCTTCTTTCACAGGTGGATTTCGCTTTTCTCCTAACGGTCAAAAAATCAATTCTCAAAATCACTCCCAAACAGGCTCTTACTATAACTGTCGTATACTCTTTCTTTTACAAATACTCGTAATAAGTTGTGTCGCAAATATATCATATTTGAAATTTTAAGTTACATTTTTTGCAGAATAAGTGCATGACAAGCTACACCAAAATAACATCCCAAAAAATTAAAGAGACAATTTTGACTTGGTTTAGGTACTTTGGCTTTTGGAAAGTAGAAAAAATACAGGACAAATCTATCCAAAGCTTAAAGGTCATACCTCCAAATCGCCAGTAAATTAAATTTTGATCCTTTGCCCAAAGTTAGAGCAATTGTTATGATATCATTATGTAGAATTCACGTGAATTGTGAAATATTGAGCTATTATGATAATCTCCTATGAACTTAAGAACCTGTTTGGAAGTGATTTTGAGAATTGATTTTTTGACCGTTAGGAGAAAAGTGGGGTCCACCTATAAGAGAAGAAGTCAAATATGAAGGCTGTAATAGTAAAATAACGATAAAAAAATCACTCACAAACGGGTTAGAATTATTCTATGAAGGCGTATTAAATGTAAACAGAATTGGAGGCCCATTGAGATGACCAGACAAACACTTTATTGTTTGCTTAATTATTTTCTCACTGGGATCGTACCTATAAGAATGACTCTCTCGTCTACATAATTAATTAAGCTACAAGTGATGATAATTTAAAGTTTGGTTAGAATATTCACTTCAGCCGCAGCTAGAGCTCTATAGATGGTGCTACATTTATATGGAGTTAAGCTATGGAATGATTAAGATGGTGAATAGTAAGTATTTTAGAAAATATGTTAAAAAAATTCTTGATATTATGAAATTAAGTTGTTATTAGTTTAGTTTTGTAATTTCAATAGTAGTTGTTGAATATGTGACCCAACTTTTGATGTTGATTTCGTGTTTTAGTTGAAAAAGAAGTTAAAGATGGATCGATGTCGTTAAGGATGTTTTTGGGCAACAAGATGGCGTTGGGCAACCAAAGAGGTCCCCAGGCACCAATTGAGGTGAAAAACTGGAGATATTTATCGAATACTTGACGCTTGGGTGCTTTTGGAGGCGTTAGGACTGTTACTCGCTTTTAGTCCACTGCAAGCTCGAGCGTTGCGCGCCGATCGCTTGGCTGGAGGCTGCAGCTCTTTATTCGAAAAAAAAAAAATTGTTTCCTAATTTTTGGCTCGTTTTTAATCTCCTTTACAACTTTAAAATATTCTTTTGAGTCATAATTATATAGTCCATTGATTGTATGGTTTTCATATAACTTTGTATGAGTTAGAATCAAGTTAGAAACACAATATTTTATATTCTTTCTCCATATTAATAAATTATTTATTTCTCTATCAACTGTCATTGTGTTATGATAGCAACTTTATATTTTATCATATACCTCATTAATTCTCTAACAAGTGGCACTAGCGTGCATATCTACTTGGTTAGATTTGATAATAATTGGCTTAGAGCTTAAGGTTTGATTGTTTGAAGTTTTTGTTCTTGTGATGGCAACCATGAAGTATGATATTTCCCTTTTAAATTGCAGCACTAGATTCTTGTGGTGGAAGCTGAAATATGAGAAGTACTTGCCCAAATAGATTTAAATGACACTTTGTTGGGATTTGACAAGATGCCGTCAAATTAATCGATGAAGGAGAAATAACGTAAAAATCGAAAGTCCCCTATCATAGGTTCATCTTTATCTTTTGAATCATAATCTTCCGGATGTTTTGAATAAGAAAATCACAACTATGCTATGGTTAATGTTGAAGCAATTGTACATATCTAAAAGTCTAACTAGAAAATTATACCTGAAGCAGCGTTTGTATTCTCGTGTATGATAGAAGGTACATCCTTAGAAAGAACCTTGCTGTCTTTAAAGACTTTGATTTGGAAACATTGGATGTTAAGTATGATGACTTATGTTTGATTTTATTATATTCATTACCAGCTTCGTATATGTCATTTAGAGACACGGCATTATATAGTCTTGATACTGCCACCATTGAATAAGTTTACGATGCTTCGTTTTCAAATGAGAAGATAAAGATAAAGCATCTTGTTGGATCTAAGGCTCATGGAGATGGTCTTATTGTTCATGGTGTTTATGAGAGGGGCGGTTTAAAGTCTAACTCTAGTAATAAAGTTTGTAACGATTGCTAAAAGAATAGGCACATTAAGATGGCGCTTAGGCATCACGTTAAGAGGGATCAAAGTAGTTAAGGATGTTTTCGGGTAGCAAGATGGCGCTTGAGCGTCCAAACAGGGTGCCTAGGCACTAATCGAGGTTAAAAATTGGAGTCATTTACCAAAACTCAGCACTTTTGCACTTTTAGAGGCGTTAGGACTGCTGCTCGCTTTTCGCTTACTGACCACTTGAACGTGGCATGAGGCTACAGCTCGAACAATAGCTTTATTCGGGAAAAAATTGTTTCCTTATTTTTGGCTTTTTTTTTTTTATCCTCTTTCCAATCACATCATATTCTTTTAAATCCTATATATAGTCCAAGAATTTTATAGTTTTCATATGACTTTGTATGAGTTAGAATCATGTTAGAAACACAATATTTTGTATACTTTCTCTATATTAATAAATTTTTCATTCCTCTATCAATTGTTCTTGCATTGTAATTACTACTTCATATTTTGTGATATACCTCGTTATTCTTTTACAAGTGGTGTTAGCGTGCATAACTACTTTGTTAGATTTGATAACAGTGGTAAGGCACACTGCTTTATACTCAAATTAGTGAGGAATTAAACTTAACAAAGGCACCATTTGTTCTTAGAGGGACAATAAAATTGTGGCGAATAGGTCGGTCGAGAGCTGCTATCCAACTACTTCTCGATCGGCCCAATTGTTGGTCACCATGGCAAGGCTTAGCCAGTTTCTTCAATGGGCAATGTAGATTGTTCATACACATCTATTCAATTTGTTATTCCGTTTCAATTGCTTTCAGTCGAATCTTCGTTCTCAACGTAATAAAACCCATATTTCTTGATTTAGCCAAAACGAGCCTCTTCTTTCCAAGATCCCTCGTCTAAGCCCCCGGAAGAAACTTACCCAACAACATTTCAATAACGGGCAGCTCAATCCGTATGCTATAGCCAGTTACATGATAATTAAACTTCTTAGCTGGTACACCATATTGCCCAAGTGATTAAATTTGGTACGCGTGCTTAAAATTATACTTATAAGTACTGACATTATGTATTTCGAATTATTCGATTAAATTATTATGAGATGGTACTAAGACAGAATGATGTCCTGCCACTGCCAGTGCAAGCTCATTAAATTATAAGCATTAATTTTGCATCAACTTATGTGACAATCATATATTATGGTCGAATTACTATCTCATCACCTCTTCAATTATGTATAAATAATATGGTCATAATATTTAAATATATATGTAAGATGTGCACAAAAAGAGAGAGTGTGACAAGTAATGATATTGTTGTGTAACACGCTAGGCATGCTCTCAACTTGCTGCAGAAGGCAATACCTGCTAAAGAAAAATAATCGATTGTATATCATTAAAATTAGGGAGGAAAAAAACTCAAAATTTGACTAAATCGATAAAATCGAACCAAGTCGACTCAGTTTGAATTAAAAAATCGA